CCGGCTTCCTGCTTCTTCCTTCGCCTGGTTTCTCATCGCCGGCTTCCTGTTTCAAATATGAACCCTTTTTCTTCAACTCATAGAACCTGATGCTTTACCTGCGTATCAAATGGTATAGGGTAGAAGATAACCTAAAAATGAGCTGTCCTTTTTGGTCATTTTGCATTTTGGTACCGCTATAAGCTAATCCAAACACTTTTTACAAAACTCCAGTTTGATACCGCATAAGTTAATAAGCACTTTTACAAAAAAAAGTATAAGTTGTTTTAAATAAGCTTACCCAAACACCCCCTTAGACTTACAGCCACCACACAATTATGTCATCACATTCCATTCCCGCGATAATCGATCTAATTGGCGGTAGAATCGTTCCATTTACACAGCTGATCACCAAATCCAAAAACCCAATAACGATATATACAAAGTTACAAATATTTATGGAAGCGTTCTAAAGAAAACATCCTTCATCGCCGAAGCTTTCGATTTGACTTGGAGTCATCCAAACTCTCCCACATAGCTCAAATACCCCAAAGATCCTAAACCGTAATATATGCCAAATTAGATGTCTATGAAGATGGAATCTGATGTTTCCATCCAATTCAACTAAAACCCTGGTTTCATTGTGCATTTGTTTGAAGAAAAATTGAGGAATTCAACAGTATAGGATCATAACCTTGGTGGGTTTGGGGATTCAGAAGAGATGTTGAATCTTTGGGTATTCTTATGTACTTTAAGTTGTTTAATGGTTTCTAGGGTTTTCGCTAATGTTGTTTTGAGGGGGAATGGTGTCACCTTGTCGTTCACCGATATTGCAGCGAACTTCGGTAAGTTTGATGAGTTCTGCCGATTTCTATGGTTGATTAAATTAATAATGATTTGCTTAAGAAACTGTTGAATTGAAATTAAATAATCAATTTAGGTTAATTCGTAGGTTTAATTCTATATCTGATACTGGGAATTCATGCTTAGTTTCTCCATCCTGAAAAGGAATTTTAGTTTGATTTTTTATGTCAAACTTATGTTGCTGTTCAAATACAGAATACAAACTGTTTATAGATAGAAATTTTTTACTTACATTGAGTTTCACAGTAAGTACCACCAATGGATTAATGTTGGTTGTGGATTAAGGACATAAACTATACTGATTTTGGGTTTTTAAGCATTTGCTTTGCCATCAAATAATCAAAATGCAACCCTTTTTTTATTGAATTAAGGGGATATTTATATGTCTAATTGAGAATTAGTTGCTAGATGCCTAGATTGATACCAATTATGTCTTTTTTGGAATCACTTGGATGATGTGAGAATCCGGTTATGGTACTTGCACATTGTTGCTTTTTTGAAGTGTATATATATGTATATATGCTCCTTTACCTTTGGTGAGGTTTGAACTTTGACCTTCTGAGACGTTGGGCTCTAACAGTAACCCGGATACCGCTTTAAGAATTTGGTACTTGCAAATTGTTGTTATTGGCAATGATGTGAGAATCCTTGGTGTGCCTAACATGCTTTTTTTTTTATCTTGATATGCTCTTTGCATTCTTTTATATCTCATTTGCTTGTATGTGACCTATTATTGTGCTTTATAGATGTGTTTCTTAATATTTTATGCAAGTTAATGGTCTTCTCAGAAACAACCTCTCTATCTCTCGGGACAGAGTAGGTCTGTGTACATCTTAACCCCCCAAGACCCTACCTTCAGATGGGATCTGGTTTGGCTATGATGTTGTCGCTTGTACTTAGAACTAAACCTTTACAATATTTTACGTTCTTCTTTATTTGATTTTTGGCAGCACGGCCTGTGAATGGGTCCGGGGAACATGGAACGTTGTTTCTGGCATCGCCACTAGATGCTTGCTCACCCTTGATCAATAGTGCAATTGAAGACGATATAATTTCCCCATATGTGTTAATAATTAGAGGAGGATGCCCATTTAAGGATAAAGTTCGAAGGGCACAGGATGCAGGATTCAAGGCCGCAATTATTTACAACAACGATGACAGTTTTTTGGTTGCCAGTATATCCCTTTCCCTATCTGCTTTTTTTCATGAATGCTAGTACTTCATTTGTTCTTTTTTGCAATCTTTAATCTAGATGGCCTAAATAAGTGTCCACAATAGAGACGGCATACAGTTTTAGACACTTTTTAGTTAACCAAATGATAACTTTACCCTAATGTATCTATCTTATCAACTCTTAAATATGTGTGCATTAATTAAGGGTAGATTTGGAAATTTAGTTATCTATTTTGAAAGTGGACACTTATCTTGGGACAAACATAAATAGAAATGTAGACATTTATTTTGGGACGGAGGGTGTAGCAATACTCATGGTGAAGCAGCTTAAGGCCTTGCACCTGCATATCCAATCCATCTTTTAAACACAATACTGTAGCCTTTTTCTGTTTGTACATATATATTGTGATTGCTACAATTTAAAATATATGGTAATTTGCACCAAAATGAAACCAACTTTGTCTCATTTTCTGTTCTAGGGAACCAACTTTCAAAACTTCTCATTTAAGAGACCACCCGGTAACCAAATTCATGTTCTCTAAATCAGGAATGAAGCAAAGTTGGTTTCATTTTGGTTCCCCAAAATGGGAAGTTTTGAAAGTTGGTTCCTTAAAATGGAGGTTCTGTAATTCTTCCCCAAAATAGGAATGAAGGCAAAGTTGGTTCCGTTTTGATGAACTTTGTCCTTGAATGTATGGCCATCCTTTAGTATTTGATGATAATAAATTACAACTCCAGTATTTTTTTTCCCATCGAATTAGTCATCAGAATGCAATTTGTGTAATTTTCCTTCAAATTTTGTTCAAATTGCACGATTGTTAGTATTGGTGAGTGTTTTAAGGATGACAACTGAAATGGGCCTGCTGAATTGAGAGAGATTCAGAATAGTTGGAAGTAGCTTTCAATAAGTTCAGGTCTGTCCCGTGAATTCAATGGTTTGTTAAGTGCAAAGTCCATTTAGTCAATTTGATTTATTGATCTATGTAAACTATAACATATTTGTTGACACGGACCATTAAACCTGGTATATGTAGGAACCTTCCCTCTCTCTGTAGGGGCTTTCAGAGAGATTGAAAGGGGTTCCATATTTTTTTTTCACATTATATTAGAGTTGGGGTCTAGCACCGTCTAGGGATTCGACAAAAGTTGATAAAAGCGCGCTTGAGGTGCACCTAGGCTTTGAGGTGCATAAAGGCTCAAGGTCTTGGGTAATTTTGAAGTCGAGGTGAAGCATAATCATGAGGCTTGCTAAGGCGCTGCTCCTTGGTTGAGGCCCCTTTTAAGCCAAGGCGAAGAAAAGGTAACAAAGATAAAATACGAGCTTGGAACCGTAGACAGTCAAGTGAAATCCAATCCACGAAATAATTTGATCTATGGACATCATCATTGCGTATTTGCTTATAAAGAGTTATCAAATGCCCAGCCAAACCCTAATTTTATATAAGTTTTCTCAACCTCATCTCTCGGACTTCTAAAAGAAGAGTTATCAAATAGATGACACAAGTCAAACTCTAATATTAAATACCTAGTCCCGTAGAACTTCAAGCCTCCTTCTCTATAAATACCCAGCCCTTAAAACTTCTTCCTCATGGCTCATGCTTTAAACCCTTCTCCCTTTTGCCTCATCGAAGTACTACTTGTTGTTGCATTGGAGGCTTGTACCTCTGCTAAACCATATTTAAGTTGTGTGTAACTGAATATGTGTGTAGGGAGGTTTTGGGAAAATTCCTCCAAAAAAAATTGAAAAACTAAGGAACGCTTCGGTAACCATTCATTTGGATGGTATGCACCTGTGGATAGAAGTAATTGAAGTTGTTTTTTGTTTTTATGCATGTGTTCATGTTATGTACATGTGCATACGTCCAATTGAACGGTTAGCAAGGTGTTCTTTATTTTTTCAATTTTTTGTGTTTCCTGTGAACCTCACCCTATATATATATATGTATATATATATATATATATGATAAGATGTGCCTCACATTCCTGAGGCCCATGTCTCACGTCTATGCTCTGGACCCTTTTTGCTTTGAGTCTTAAACAACTTTGGATTCGACATACTCTTTTGACTCTGGTTCTTGGGGGCATAGTTTACCCTCAATTTGAGGGAGCGTGTTGGAGTCCCACATTGGCTATACTTGGACCATCCAACTTGTATACATGTAGGAATCTCCCCTCTCTGTTTAAGAGCACGTTTAGAAAGTTGTACATACTCTAGCAATGTCATTCGTTATCTAATCTCAGTTCATTAAATTTCAGTGGCAGGGAATCCAGGTGGTATACATATACATGCTGTATTTGTTTCAAATGACGCAGGCTGCAAACTCCAGGATTATGTTGGCAAAACTGAAATTGAAGTGTGGCTTATCCAAAACAATGAGAACTCAATATGGTCAATCATGGCCATATCCTTCATTTTATTGCTTGCCATGTCAGCAGCATTGGCGAGTTGTTTCTTTGTGCGTAGACGTGACATACGACAAGAACTCCCCCGTGTTCGAGGATTCAACGGGATGAGTAGACGGCTTGTCAAGGCCATGCCAAGCCTCTTTTTTACGACGGCTTTAGAAGACAACTGCACTTCAGCAACGTGCGCTATATGCCTTGAAGACTATGATGTCGGTGATAAGCTTAGAATTCTTCCATGCCACCATAGTAAGTCTTCTTGCCCCTCTAATTCTAATATTTTGACTTTCGACTTAAAATTCTATTGAAAGGCGTAATTGGGGGTGCTTCTTGAATATGATAAAGAACTACTCTACTCTCCCACCCCTCCGTATCCCAACTCCCAGATATACTGACGTTTGGTTTGGTTTGGTTTGGTTCGTTACATTAAGTAAAAACTAAACGAAACTTTGTTGCATTTTGTCATTTGATTGATCAATGATCCTGTTTGAATATAATTTTTTTGGATTTTGACAGAATTTCATACACTTTGTGTCGACGCTTGGCTGACATCCTGCAGGACGTTTTGCCCTGTTTGCAAGCGTGATGCCAATACCACCATCAGTGATCCACCAGCCACAGAACGGACACCGTTACTATCTTCATCATCTTTATCGTCATCATCCCACGTGGCATCAAGACCAATGGTAATAGGCCACTTGTCACCTTCATCATCAAACACCCCTAGCAGTCAGCAATCTTTCCATGAATCCCTTAATCCAAGATCAAGCCTAAGTTCATCAGCCACAATCAGCAATCCCTTTATCATTCCTTCTTCATTGCCTCTTAACTCCGTATACATGCCTTTTTACGCAAGTCCCAGGAAAGTTTCATCAAGCTACAGCCGGTCTTCGATTCAGCAGTCATGTTCTCCATGCCACAGTGAGTCTATGGCTAGCTCTTCATGGTCTGAGTCAACTCAGTCACTCCCAGAATGTTGATCATAAATTGAAGTAAAAAACTAAATCTGCTAACAGTTGCATTTGATGCTCGCTTAGTTTATATTTTGATAATTTTAAGTTTGGTGCTTGTTTTAGTAGTTGTGAATGTTTGTGTGTTTATGGAGGTAAATAACTGCTTGGGGGTTTTGGTGAATTTAAAGCATAGAGTATCTAATGATGTTCTTTCAACTATTTTACTAGTATATATCATGTTATTTTTAAGTTCAAAAAGAGTATCTATAGTGTTGTTCATGAGCTCCATTAGGGTGGTACCCCCTTTTTTTTTCTTTTCTAAAAATAAGATATATTGTATATCTATACTGTATTTGACAAAAATTCTTAAAAACAATCTTTTATATATAAGGTACTGTTTATTGATGCATATTACTCAAAATTAAAGATCATAAGTAGAATGTGTACGAGTACATCTTATTAAAGTTTCATGTGTGAATTCGTATAACTAACACAGATAAACATAATCAAATGCATGATAAATATCATTTAAAGTATAATCAATGATTTCTAACATAATACTTAATTATTATCTTAAAAATTTATTTTATTAAACCAAAAATAAATTAGTTTGTTTTTAAACTTTAATTAATTATAATAAAAAATTGAATTGAATAAATTACACAAAAACGAGAACTTTTAAATAGTTAATTTGATACTAATTTCGCTTATTTTTTTAAAAAAAATTATAATATCTTCAAATTTATATTTCATTTAAAAATAAAAACATTTTATTTTTCCTCAAAACCACATAAAATCGCATTATAACATCGATAGAGCCAAAATATAAAACGAAACATTAAAATCAAGATGTATCTCGTTGTATTGCGCGAGTATCCTTCTAGTTTTAAATTATAATAATTTTTTATTTGTGGTGATATTTATTTTTAGTATGTTGTATTTTAGTTTTTGTTATTGTTATGTTGTATATTATTAAGAAATCAATAATTTTTAGAGTAAATTACATTCTTGGTCCTTCTGTTATATAGTTTGTGTGAATGTTTGTTTGTTGTTTTGTTAAGGTTTGGTTCATTCACGAGCGGAGCGTTAGGCATCTGTTCAAGTAACAAAAACAATACAATCATTGCTAACAATTGTTGCAGCTACAACAATTTTACATTTTTGAAATGAGATAAGGGTTGACCTTACTTAATTAAACAAGAACACTGAACAACAACCCTACATTGATGACCGAAGGGGGAGAAATGAGATAAGGGTTGATCTTTAAACCAGTAAACCCAATTCTATGCCCATCTTGACTAAATGTTTCGTTTTTTATGTGAAATTTATGTAGTTTCTTGTGAATGTCTCATTGTTATGTAATAAACGGTTGTTACGTTTACTGTAAATTTTATGTAAATGCTTTGTTGTTTTCTACGAATATTTCGCTTCGGTGAAGCTTATATTATTCTTTTATGAAAGTGAAAAGTTCTGAAGGGATATCAACTCCATAAATGCATCTATATATGACTACTTGTTATATATAGATGAATGATCGTATGAGAATAGAAGTTAAGATGAGAAGTGTAAGAAGCGATTTGAACCTTTGATCACTTTTATTCCAAAAACAACCCATGAATTACGCTTTAAAAATGAATTGATTTAGTGTATCTCATTAATGTTGATCCAGTGGTTCTCAAATATTCATGTAAGTTTAAAGAAAGGTTATTCAAACAAAAGTTTATTCCACATTTTATGACGTACTTGCCATCTATAATATGCCAAAAACGGTAGGAAATACGACCCTATACAACTCTTTGTTATTTTAAGAAGTCAATACCTCTAACAAATGTTGCAAAATTCTTTGTTTCCGATTATTTACATATGCGCCCAACAGAACCAGAACCAGAACCAGGACACGAACACAAACACATAAACCAAGTGAAACGTCAAAGATTGGTCACAAAAGAAACCATAACAAAATCTTGGTCCTATCTCTGTTTTCTTCAAAAACAGCCATCTTAGACATGGCTTGACTAAAAAGTAGTTTTATATATATATATATATATATATATATATATATCAACAAAAAAAATGTCAAATTAAGATTTTACTTCTTTTGATATATAAAACAAAACATTAATCCAAGATTATTTATTGACTATAGCAGGAGGCTCTCCATGTTGAGCTCCACAAACGAGCATGGATCCGGTATGTCAAAGTTTTCCAGCACCTGAAAGTTGCATAAAAACAAAAATCATAAAAAAACAATGCAGGTGACGAAACTGAACTGATCCACAGGGTTATTTAGAAGAATAACCTTCGTTTTTAAGGCGGAGGAGGGTTAAAGTGAGAAGCGTAAGAAGGAATCTGGACCTTTCATCACCTTTAATCTCAAACCCACCCATGAATCGCGCTTGATTTGGGGATTGATTCGGTGCATCTCACCCTAATGTGCATCCAAGGGTGAAGATCCATTCTTACGCTTCTCATCTTAACTCTCCTTCTCACCGGAACCCAACCCCATTTTTTAAATGCAGATTTAAGATAAAATGCTTCTTCCTAACTCAAAATCTATCACCAATTAGCAACAAAAAAGTCCATTTCACCACTTTATCTAATTTTTTTTTTTTTTTTTTGATTAACCTGGATAACCCGCTATCCGAGCCGACTAATCCCAGGGCAACCACCTGCTTTGCAGATAGCCGGAGTCACCGCATTTGAACCTCCGTGGCCACAAAGAAGATTTTTATTCCTCCTTGGATTTGAACCTGGGACCTCCCGGTACTTTTGACCTTTGAAGCCAAGCTCAAACCAATCAGACACCACCCTTGTAGTTCACTTTATCTAATTATTTGTACATGAACAACTGTAGATTCAAGATTTTCCAAAGGTTACATCTTACTAAGAAGTTCATGATCTCTCCACTTCACTAGAAATCATTAGTGGATGTTAAAAATTTGGATATGGACAATAAAGGATAAACACATTACCATCAACAATTGATATCCACACACCACCTCCAAGTGGGATATTCTGGGTTCATTTGGTCTGGTTTGGTTTAAACAATGATGTTCTTACAACGAAAACCAAACATCTAAAGCGGTTGGATGATAATCAAGTAACTTAAGAATTGTCTAATTCAATGGTAAACGCTACATAGCACGTAAGCCACCATGTACACCACTTAGTTAATTATAAAGGGTAAAATTGTCATTTAGTTCATGATAATGTGTAATAGATACACATTTCTAAAATTGTGTGCCTTTTTCATTGTGGACATCTATTTTGAGACGGGAAGGAGTAGCAAAATTACTAAAAATGTCAAATTCGATATTAAAAGGCTACCTGTGGGTGAACAATGCCAAAAGTTCCGATGCGTTTCCCTTTGTAAATGAGGTTCGCTTGTCTCCCCGACAAAAACTCAGGCTCCTTCATCGGATAATAAGGTTGTAAGCACAACGGTTAAAAAAAAGTACGAGTGAGTCACAATAAAAAAAGGTACTTACATCTGAACGCTCGATATAATAACCAGTATTGTCTCCAGGCAATACAAATGGAGTACCAGTTACTTCCATAATTCTGTCTACCAGCCCATGTATCAACTGCAAAAGAGAAAGCAGGGGTATTCATTGGTTGAACACCAATGAATTCATATGGTTTCGATCCATCAAATCATCCACCCGATGTTGGATTTGCCATCTGATCCGATCCAATTAACATTAGATAATCACTCCAATCCTATCCAATGAATGATTGGATCAGATCGCTTCCATCCAATATTTTGATCCAATTGCCAACCAATTAGTTAACCATTTCAACCAATTATATTCATATATCTTCCTAACTAATTAAAAAAATACTACACACAAATATCAATTAAAAGCATTGTAAAATATAGTTAATTATATATATTTATTAATTGCATGGTGGTTGGAAGAGTAATTGAATGCTAATAGGATTGGATTGTTCAGTTTTATTGGATTCAAGACTGCCAACCAAGAACCGGCTCATCCAATTTGGATGTTGAAAATTTGGATCCGATCTGATCCAATCATGTTTTGTCAGTTATAGTTGGATCGGACGACTTTCTGCACACCCATAAGAAAAAGTAAAAGATCAAACAAACTCAGCAGAGTTGAATTATTATGTGGACAAAACCGCATGTAACGAAATATCATCAACCAGTAGAAGACATACATATAATCAAGAAGCTTCAAATAGAACAATTTCAGAATTATCCTAGAAATAAAATGGTCAACATACTTCACCAAGGAGATGCCTAGGTGAAAACATAAGAAAATTATTTCAATAGTCTGTGTTTTTTAGCTAGATGGGCTCTTTGCATTCGTTCATAATTATTTACATAATTCCTTGCTCCGTGCTTTATGGAAAGTAATGTTGTGCTTTATATTTCTTTTTCATCAACATTTTAGGGGTCTTCACAAAACAACCTCTCGGTCTTTGAGACAGGGGTAAGGTTTGCGTACATTTTACCTCTCCTAGACCCTACCTCTGGTTAGGATATATTGGGTTTGTTGGGTTTAATTTGGTTTTATAACTCCTTCAATCCCAATAATCCTCAAGATTATCATGTTATGTTCACCTAGACCCCTTAATCTTGCTTATTTATTTACTTATTTTGAAATGTTTGTGATATAAATTAGTTGTTCATTGAGATATTGAGAAATGCTTAGTGCCTAAGAAGCTGAATAAAAAGGTCCTAAGTGAGAATTTTTAGAAGACATACACCTGTAGATTGTATTTGTACCATCCAGACAAGTCTAAAAAGATGAAGTACGTATGAATGCAATTTGGTATAGCTAAAAATAGGTGCAAGCCACCTCTTACCTAGTGTGGCAAAAAGATTTCAATAGAGATGCATGAAATAATTGGTTAGATCTTGAGATCGGATATTGCGTAGTTTGATGAGTATGTCGCTTATTTCTAAAGAAGGAAGGTGATACACATCTGACATGGATTCATCGTGAAGTTAATTTTTTCTAGTATCGGGTTGTCAAATACTCTTCAGAATGGTGTTTTCCGTCTAGGTGGCTGTTTAGATCAACTTGGACTTAGGTTGCCAAAATATTCTAATAATTATCAAAAGCTCTAGCTAATCAATAGAATCTTCTCAAATAAAGGTGGAATTTGGAAATGGTAAAACTAAAATGTAAGTTTAATTTCCACCAACTAGATTTGAGTTTCCACAATGTGGTGAAGACATGTACCAAAACTTATTGGAACTGAATAAGAAAGAAATATTAGTAGATAAAAATGAGTTATTTTCAAATGAATCTGAAATGTGATTTTTTTAATACTCCTTTAGTACTAATCTGAAAAGAGAGGGGGGAGGGAGAAGCAAGAAAGCACAAACATATATATGAAAATAGAATTTTACCTCAAACCCTGAAGTAGCACCACAGTAAAGAGCTGCCAGTTGGCGATGATTTGTGGCCCCAACATCTTTTAACTCATCCAATACCGTTACATCACCTACTTCAAATATCTAGAGTTCCAATGTGAAATAAGCAAAAAAAACATGGGAACTCACTTATAAGTAAAGCAACAGTCTCATCTATATTTTTGTTCCCAAAGTTTACAATTGTAACCTACTCCAACTTATTTGGACAAAAAAGCTGCTATTATTATTGCATAACAAATATGCAAGTAAGCTTAAGATCATCGAGACGAACTGACACTATTATATAATAAGCCTACTTTACCTTGATAGGTTTTGGATGATCTTTATTGTGTGCAACGGTTTTCAATATTCCAGCCATGAGACTGCTCCGCACAACCTATATGGTTCAGAAGTTAATTGACTGAAGTTTTTGGAAGGATATAATTGCAACTAAAATAAGAATCAATTTGTCTGAATGTGTAGGACTACATGCAGTCAAGCAAATACAAAACTTCAGATGAATCAAACAAGATAGTTAAAATGTTAAGAAATAGATTTGGTGGCATTACACACGCCAAATTTGTTATCTTGGTGAAGCTTTATCAAAAAGGACAAATTTAGTGCTGACCAATACACATAATTTCATGGCAAGTTTTACTCCATTTCAGGTACAGGGTAAACAAACCTCAAAATCTGCCGATCGAGGATTTCCAATGATAACTGCAGTTGATTTGTCATCTTTACGGTTCAGCATGGGGAAATTTTCTTTGTATGAACATAGGATCCATGTTAACACCTCTGTATAACCGGTAAGCGCAATCTAAAGAGAAATGCAAACAAAACCATATCAAGCACCCACGAATAAGATAATCACATAAAATGATGTTAGCAATGATGAGGCTTAATTAATCTAACAAAATATTCTTGAAAGCAAATATCATGTCCTATTTGCTCAAAGACTCGTTTCATATTACCAACCATAAAGCGTGACTATCTAAGATGAACACTGCATAGGCCACGAGAGACTACCAGAAGAAGACGGACCTTATTTATTCTTTCCCTATTCAAGCATTCCTAAGTCTATTCCATTCAAGTACTAAGAATGGCACTAGATGATGCCCTCTAAAATAGACAGTTCCAATGGTGAAATTTGCATTATAGCAGACACCAATAACCACCCTCTTAATTTGCAATTATTATTTGCCATTTTAGTCAAATTATGTAAAAAAAATTCAAATCCTTTAGTTTCCACATTTACTTGGTCATTGTTGATGATCAAAACTTATGAATTTATTTATATTCATTCATTGAGATCATTACTCGATAGTTTAACTCTTTTATTTTTTGTGGATATACATTTTATATATAAGCTCTATATTTGTGAGTGTGCATAAGTTGAAATTTGTGCAAGTCATGTGCCTCATTTTGATTGGCTCACACCTAGGGCCCGGAAACACTGAATCTGCTTTTCAAGTAGATGAAACACAAAGTCTTGAACAAGACACCATTAAAACTAGTAAAACAGCATTAAACAAGCCAAAGGCAAAAGCACAAGAGGAAGTGACACTGGGAACAATTTGATCTCTAAGTCGAAAACTTTTAGAAATTTAAATGAAATTGATCCTTTTAGTTAACGAACAGAAGTTTCAAGTGTTAAAGCAGCAAACACTAAATACACACGTTAATGCACTATATTACCTCCGTTCTGATAAGGTCACTGAACTGGTTCAGTGGCAAGGGCTTCAAAGATGCAGGTTTCCGCTTTGGAATTTCATTGAAGCCATAAGCAATTGCCACATCCTTAGGAATTTGTTACAAAGAGAGAGACTTCATGTCAGTTCTAATGAAAATGTGGAACTGCCATTGATGGCTTCGTAGACGTTAATAATAATGACAAAATGGAAAATGCATCAAAATGCAAAAAAGTTCGGTTTAGTTCCTATTTAATGTAACGAATAATTGTTTTCTCTCATTGGAGCAACAAAGTTTCAAAATTTCATATTTTGCACACATTTTGGACCAATAACCTAGTGATCTTGTAACATTTGATAGCATGAACAGGTTACCGTTCAAAATGGGTAAATAAATAGGAAATTTTTTACTTTGTTATATTGATTGAGAAAAAAAAAATTCTTTGTTACACTAATAGGAACCAAGTCAAACTTCGATTAATATCGCCCTACATTCCATACCTCTGCTACATCACATGCATGAAGCACATCACTTCTGGTTGGAGGAACAGATACAGTGAAAATGCATTCATTGTCCACTGAGACAGATTGCTGAGCATGTAATTGCATTTTGTTCAACAACCCAGCAACCTGGAAAATACAAATAGATAACACAATCTTCCGTAAGTGAACAAACAAAGAATTGGGTGGATACCTTAACATGTAAGATACCGAGACATTGGAAACATTACAAACACCACTTTCCAATAAAAAAGAGGGCACTGAGATCCAATAGTTACTGTCTACACCCTCAGCCTCACTTGCCCTATCTGGTTTTAAGCACATAGGCCCTTACTACTCTTATTGTTTACTATTCTTGTTACATATCGTTACCGTTCTTGTTGCCTGTTTTCACAAGCTTCCCGACCCCCACACACCCCCCCCCCCAAAAAAAAAAAAAAAAAAGTGGTTACTGACTGTTACAGGTCTCAACAAAAACAGCATCTCTACCCCTTAGTGTAGAGGAAAAGTTTGCGTACATCCTACTCCTTGACCCTACCTCCAAGTGAGATACTAGGTTTGTTCGATTTGGTTTATCTATTGTTTTTCTGTATCTGCACTGTTACTGGGAAAATTTAGATCAACAGAAATGTATCAAATCGACCAACTAACTACTAAAATACTTACTGGAGCAATTTTTGGTAATTTGCTAATCATCAGTTGTGCTAGGAGCTTGGCCGCAAAGGTTGATATCGATATTCATATTTTATATCATCCAAACAGCTTTGAACTTTTTCTAAACTAATCACAAACATCTCTTGAACAGTGTAAAAGGAACATTAAGTTTCAGATTTTAGGGAAATTTCAGTTAGCACTTTTTCTCCATACCCTTCAAGAGTGTTTTTATTGAATGTAACCTGTGTGAGCTTACTTTGATAGACATTGTATCATACACACTTTCATCTTGTAAACCCTTCTGAGGCTTTCATAGCAACGGGATTCTCAGCCCCTTTGTTGACATGTTCAGACGTCTTTTCAAGTTCTGATTTTGGGGCTACACGTAAAATAAACGACCGAACTTTATGGTTTATCGTTAAACCATAGATATGCAAGGATGATACACACACATAGAAAAGAAAACGAGCACTTAAATCATGAAGTACATTAAACTATCAACTCCATCATAACAGTCGTACATCTTCAGGTGGTTTCAAGTCTAGGACTATATATTACAGCTTGAAATAAGAACAATGACAATAGTGTGATCAGAATTGAGAACAGAAAACATGTTATAAGCCTGATCCAAATTGAAAACGTTGAACGACACTGTAATTTTTTGACGTTATAAGAAGCCGACCATCATCATATTTTGGAACAAAGACATGAAAAATAAGCTCATAAAAAGTATGGTTTCAAGGTTAAAGAAATAAATTGTATTGCGTATGGATCACATTATGACATTTTTATATCATAAAGATGTGTTCAGATTTGAATCGGATATGTGTTAAGATGATAGAATTAATAATCATAAATATAAATATTTATGAGATGAGCTTCACGCACAGGCAGGCGCGATTGATAGCAAAGGTGGGTCACCTTTGAAAGATTCTTCTCCATTGTGAAGATGATGACAATACAAGACCAGTCTTGACTTAAGGATATACTAATGAAGTACAACACCTCTTGGAAGGCTCCCCCAAGATTTCTAGTTGTTACGGTAGTAAGTTATTTTGCTTGTATATGTATGATGCTGTGTTGGTTACTAGCTATGTGGAATGAAGGATGTCAAAACACACTTGTTTTAACTTTGAGTAGTGCACTCCTACTTCACCTTGGGGATTGTTCTAGAAGGTTGAGTGGAAATGCTTGTGGGTGGAGTTCCATCCTTAGGTTGTAATTTACTTTATTTTTATAAAATTTACCAAAGGTTCCACCCTCCTTCCAAGAACAAATGAAGTGAAAGGGGAAAAGGTAGAAAAGCATATTAGATAATTTGATACCACATGGCGACATGGGTAAAACTGTAACCTAGAAAAAAGAATGCAAAAACATTTCCTAGTGATAAAAAAACATCAAGGTGCCACAAGTTAGATGCTTATAGGCATTTTCGGTAGTTTATTCAACTTAGTTGGTCATATTCAGGTTATCTTAAGATGTGGGGTTTGGTAATGCTTTAAGGTGATGGTTTCTCAATGTGGGTGGTTTATCAGATTTGTGCAGTCGGTTGGAACTCAATTGTTCTGTAGTTAGGCTATTGCATACTATGTAGCATGTTTTAATTTTTCAGTTTCCAGTAAGATTTTTGACCATTTTAAAATAAGATTGAAAAGAATAAGCATTTAAGAGCTCATCACCCTCCCCCTGGGAGAGGGAAACCCCAAATATCCTCATCCTCCTGAGCTGTCACTACATGAGAAGAAGAAAGACGTGTATATGGAGTTTCTATACTTCTCACAAATGAACAAACATTCAAGTAGAGATCTATGAATGACGACATGGCATGTTTTGTACCTTATTTGCCTCCAATGAAACCCCAGCTATACCATTGATGTATGCTAGAGACACCTCCATATGGTAGGGCGATAGTTCAGGGCAAATATTGGATTTTCCATCAGAATATATTACTTCAACTGGCTCAACCTCAAACTTCCGTTGACAGTACACAGAAAACATTGTTACCTACAGTATACGGTGCAGAATCCTATCAATTTCTTGTCATTCAAATAACGGATTAGCAAGCAATAGATGCATCAGAATTCTTCTATGCTTAACCATTGTGTTTAAGACAATCTTGGCCTTTGTCAAATCAGTGGCTGTGCACTCAATGAAAACATTCTTGGTCTTCAAAGAAATAGCTGAGTGTGCTCCATTAATTATTGGGGGCAGAGACAATACAGTTCTGCAAAAATCAATTGGTCCTTTTCAGATTATATGATCATCAAAATGGTAAACATGGTAAAAACAGGACCTAAAATTTAAGGTAGAAAGCATGGCCGGACCCTCTTAATAAAACATGAATTTACGATAGAGGAAAGATTTTAAAACTACAGGACAGAAAGGCTACCTTACCAAACACAAGACATGAAATTATAATAAAACAGCCTGAACAAATATAAAGAACTCACAGCCAGACAGTACCAAAGGGCAAATAAAGAAAGCAATGAAAGGGGTTAATACTAATTATAGATGTAATGCTTTAAACCTTGAAATGTGTTTTGCTAATTCATAACATAGCCAACTTAGTTTTTACTGATACTTGATCCTTATAATCGTTCAAATGAAAACAGATTCAGACATGTTAAAACTTAACACTCCAATCAGCATGAATATAACTATTATAGGAAGAAGGTAGAATACCTGTTTCGATCATATATAACAGGGAAAACAGGTGAGTCCTCGATTATGTGCAAGTACTTCTTCAGTTTCAAATCTGACTGTCATAACAGAAGGCAAACAAGGCTTCAAAAATTGATTTCAAGTGCATAATACCCTCACACAACCAGAAAAGAACCACACACATGCACAAGTAACAGAAGTAGTAGATTGAGGCAAAGCCGCTTGGATGGAATATAAGTGGAGACCAGTGAGAACGATAATTCTGTACATACATACCACTATATATTCACAGACACAGAATGTACCTTGTAAAACTCCATCAGCTTATCAGCTCGGAAAGTTTCCACCTATAAAAAAAATCATCACCATTGCATAAGCAAATCTCTTAATACTGAACAAATCATTATCAAATATACAGAAGTTTCTGTCCCAAAATAAATGTCCACAATGAAAAGGGCAACGTTTTTTAAGATGTGTAACTACTACACTTTTTTAATTGACTAAATGACAATTTTAGCCTTAATAATAGAGGGAGTAATGAATTTCTCCATCTCATAATTAAGGCTAGAAGTGGAAAGTAGACACTAACTTTCGAGAGTGCACACTTATCTTAGGGAAAACTAAAATGAAATATTCACCAACATTGCCTTGGGCCTACACCAAATATTCACTAAAATATTAAGGCTACACGTTTATCTCTCCAGCATAAAATCAAATTGATTCATTAACATGCTAGTCTGTAACATAAAATCAACCAAAGGCAGGCTACTCATTAAAGATTTGTGCCTTTGTCTTCTTTACACTCTAGTTGTCTTCTATAGAGAAGTGACACCATCAAAGCTTTTTCTCGATATTATGATCTGAAATGGAGGATGTCAACCACCACCTACACTCCTAACTTCTAAACATGAGATAATACCACCCCCCCCCCCTCTGAAATTCCAAACAATCGATTGACTATTTTCTATCTTTAGCTTTCACACACGGGTGTTCCTTGGTTGAATTCTAATCTATTTAAGTGCACACGTGCAGGCACACACACACACTCTTATATACACATCACATAAGTTATATCTTCATGATGAGGGCTTTTCCCTATTCATTGCTAGCAAGGAGTTCAAGACTTACTTGCAAATATATCATTTGTTTGACATGATATATAAACCTAGGTAATCCCTGCATTTCTGAAATGATGTTGAGCTGATACATATTTAACATCTGTGAAGTAACCTTACACTCCTCCATGGTTGCAACTTGAAACCGATTGGCAACACGTGAACGTAACCAATAATAATATATACTCATCATAAAGACCATATTTTCCCAACATTAGATATGACTTTGTCTGGAAATCCCAATACTTGAAAGTAAAGACCACACTCATGAGTGATTTTATATATAGTGTATGCAAAAATATGCACAAATCAAATCATATAATAGTCATTTTTTACCTGTTTTAATGGCTTAAACTCTATCTCTGATGGTGCCAGAGCCTGCACAAATTAAAAATAGATAAAAGATAAAGCATTAAACTATAAACATATTGGTATTCACTTTCTATAATTGCAACCACACAACTAAAATAATTGATCATATATGTGTATGTTCTTTGAAGCACTTATGGATATACAGATTCCTAGTGGGCTTTAGGATCGATAGGTATGATTCTTCTTCTTTCTTCTTTAATTCTTGTTTGTTCTTTTATTTCTTGGGGTAGAATATAGTAGCATACATGTGTCATCAACTCCCCAACATTTAACAAGGCAATCCAAAGGTACAAGCAAGATCCCTTGGAAAAAAGTCAAGTATATTCTTGTCTATTGGATCCTTCAAGTTGTCAAGGCATTCCAACTGAAATAATGATAGTTATCAAACACTGGAACCCATAAAAGAATTAAGCACAAGGAAAAAAATTACTGTTTACTAATATTTCAATGTGCATTGATGTGTTACATAAGATGCAATACTAAAACAACAATGCTAGGTGGTCAAAAGTACCAGGAGGTCCCAGGTTCAAATCCAAGGAGGAATAAAAATCCCCTAGTGGCCACGGAGGTTCAAATGCGGTGACTCCGGGCTATCTGCAACGCAGGTGGTCGCCCTGGGATTAGTCGGCTCGCATAGCGGGTTGGATATCCAGGTTAATCAAAAAAAAAAAACAATGCCATGTAGGGTTTAGAACTTCTATATTAATGGGAAAGGCTAAATATCAATCTCATATTGCTATTTGGAAGGATTGAAATTGGAGTCCATACAAATTCAGTTAGAAGACATCTTTTTAATTGTTATTTTAAAGCTCAAGACAGTAGCAGCCAAAAGTGTGTAATAGCAACATACTAAGAGTCCAATATAAGCATTATTAATTGTGTTATTAAAGACTCTAGCTAAAGAGTCGGTCAAAGAGTTGATACACACTCAGATGAACACAAAATGAAATTGATATTGATTAAAGGTTTCCAGCAATTCGAGAAGCTAGGGTCTCCCTACGCTCACGCCAAAACAGTGTTTACAAATCAGATACCCTCTCAAACACCCACCTATTTAATAGATTACTCCTACTACTTTTCCTTCTTTTACCCTTGTAACAGAATGCTAACAATTCCAAAAATGCCCCTGCCCCTATTCACTACTGTTATTACAACCTTATAAAAACAACTACCCATCCTACCCCTTTACTCCTAGCCAACRTAACTAATAGCATCCTTCCGGGGTATATCAATACCCGCCCCCCAAACTTCGACCTTGTCCTCAAGGTGGCAAAAAATCGGAAGAAAAATGATCCCAAATGGTTTGCATCAAAGACTAGTGATGATGGTGAGTTCTTGATGAATGTAAGTGAAACAAAAAGAATTGTTGCCCAATCCAAGAGCTCTCCAATACGCTTCCAGAGTAAATCCATTCGGTTCATCTTGAAATCCAGCAAACTTGTATCCTTGATTCCCACCAACATTAGTTCACAAACATAAGCCACTAGTATGCCCTTCTTTATAGCCTCTTCTAGACAAACCAAAAACTTTTCAATATGGATTGGGATGATGATTACCTTTTGAAGCCAACACTCCTATGGTTTTGATCAAACTCAATCTCTGATTGATGTCGGTTTGCATGTCGCTTCTAGGAATTGCATGGGGAGCCGATGTACCCAAAAGCCATTCAGTCATTGCGGATTCAGCGCTCTCATTTTGAGAATCTTTTATCATAATGGAATGCTCGAAATCCACCCTCGCGCATCATCCAAGTGCCAACTAAAATATATCCGTCTTTCTTGAATTGTTGCAGCTGCAACTGTTGTTTTTCTTGTTGTTGTCCCTTGGAGACATGGGATGACTTTGCCCTAGAGTTGGTGCTTTAATTTGGTCAAATTGTGTTGCAATGTCGACTCCAACATAGATTTTGCCATTACAACCCTCTTTTCCATATGAGCAAGTAAACTCAGCTTTTTCATACTTCTCCTTGAGTGGTACTTGGATAACTGAATCATTGAAAGAGCCAACGATAATGTCAAATCTAGCATAGACTAAATGTGAGAGAGATTCATCATACTTGTCAAGAAGTTTAACATTTCTATCCTTGGGACTTCCCTGGAACAATTCCATTATAACTCGGTTCATGCCAGAAAATTTGCTAATCCCTACAACGATAAACCGAACACCCCCGTTGAAAGAATCCTCAGCAAGTGATTTAAGGCTTTCTAGATCAGCACCAGAATCTCCTGTAAAGATGCATCCAACAAGAACAGGTGAATCATCACCAGGCAATCCCATCATGTGTCGTAGGGCACAACTTTTCCCCTCTTGTCATCTGCACTGTAGCTCCATAGGATCCTAGTTTGAGTCATCATAACCAAAAAACGCAATCAACAACTTGTCCTCACGAGTGCGCAAAACAAATTCCAATCCATGGCCCACAATACAACTTTAATGGTCTTTCAAAAGTTTAGGTGACAGCCATGGTGGTAGCGGTTTGCCAACGGCTTCAATTTTTGTAGTTGCTGGTATAGATTCAGGAACATAACGAGAGGATTTGTACGAGGTGATCGTTTCCAATGAACATCGCCCAAACAATCTCTCCCATGAGTCGATGTCAAAAGAGGGTCTGTCAATAAAATAAGAGTATGTACTAAGTTTGGGACAGACTTGGGCAAAAATAAATTCACTGGATTGGGCTTGGGCCATAAAATCACCAATACAGGCTTGGTTGACATCTCAGTGACTTGCTTGGGCTTAGGGATCACTAAAGTGGGCTCAAATGCCGACAACGCATTCGTCCCTTTGGACGATGGAGCGGTCGATGACAATAAAGGATAGAGTGCCGATGGTTGAGGGATTGGCAGCGGCATAGAAAAGGCCGTTGCAATGGTGGTGGTTCTCTGACAACCTTGATTGTTATGCTGGTATGATTTCTGGAAGGTAGCGTGAACGTTTGGTTGAGGAGGAGAGAGAGAGCGGCGGTTGAGGTGTTGCTTTCCCCATAGCCAAATTCTACAGGTATCGAGATGGATCTGAATGACCATCATTAGGTTTGCCGAGAACCCTAACCTCTTTAATTTCTCTTTTCCTTTCTTCTTCTCTTCCCTCCTCACATTGTGAAAGTCCTGGACCCTCTCATCCTCTTCTTCTATCTCAAATGTGGGGTCTTCTTCTTTAACGGCTCTTCATATGATCTAAGTAGCTTATCCATCATCTTATTCACAGTCTCCATATCCCTCCACAAGGATTTGAAATCCTCCTTCAACGATTTCATGCCCTTATGAAGAAAGCTAATGTCATCCTCCGATTCCTTTCCACTCAAGACACCGGTTGTCATCTCCAGGTTCGATCTCGCTCTGATACCAATTGATACACACTCAGATGAACATAGAATGAAATTGATATTTGATTAAAGGTTTCCAGCAATTCGAGGAGAAGCTGGGGTCTCCCTAGGCTCACGCCAAAACAGTGTTTACAAATCAGATACCCTCTCCTACACCCCTCATACCTATTTAACAGATTACTCCTGCTACTTTTCCTTCTTTACCCCTTGTAACAGAATGCTAACAATTCCAAAAATGCCCCTGCCCCTAWTSACTACTGTTATTACAACCTTATAAAAACAACTACCCATCCTACCCCTTTACTCCTAGCCAACRTAACTAATAGCATCCTTCCAGGGCAGGAGTCCAGTAAGGGGTCCCTAAGAATCTGCCAATATGTCAGTGTCGAAGTTTGAGGATCACATCTTTATCATCTTGAAATTAGCCTTTTATAGGTAGATATAAGTGAACAAGAGTAAGACTTTCATATGATGGTGCTACATCTTTGCTCAAGATGATGCCTAAGATCCCTAGTATGATTTCTATATGTTTATGTCATGTTATGCATAATTCATTTTGTACCCGAATTTTAAGTTAATGTTGTTGCACAAGCAAACCCGCTACCAATCCCCAAATTAGACCTTAACAATCCATAACCAATTATCCAACCTTACATTTCGTGTAAATTCATCATTCATTGAATTTTGAAGACTCTAGTTTAGATATTTTTTGTTGGTAAGCAAGATGACACAAGAACCGTCCTCTTATTCCAAACTAATTCATGTAGGTTAAAGTGAGAATAAAACAGATAATTTAGCAATGCAACCAAGAAGCCAACATTCTCTACGGTTACAGACATGAATGGCATTACTCATGCCCATGCCAATTATGGCAAACATCTACTTGCTTGATGGCTTCTTAGCACAAGTCTCGTTTTCTAAGCATCTAAAGATTGAAGGTCTACATTGAAGATGACCAAACCACCACAATGGTGTTGCCTCACCATCTCAACTAGACAACTAGTGTCATCCAAAAATAGTTTATTGTATATCCCCATTTCTAGTCCAATCTATCATTATGTGCCCACGTATCTCACCTCAAAATTTTGCATTTTTGCTCCACTAGTCATGTGTACATGTTGCCTTTTGTTGCCTAACATTTTGTCCTCGTAAACCATTTTTGGTCTCACAACATCATAAAGATCTTACCTATTAGTTTCAATGGGATTTTTTATTGCATGAGACTTCAAAGCATGTTGCCATTTCAATCACCCTACGCATATTCTTTGACTAACGTCCTCGGTGATCGGACTCTTTCTAAAAATGTAATCTCTAATAAGAAAAGACCTTCATAAGTACTTGTCCAAACATGATCATCATATCTTATAGTTCCTAACTCCTAACAACTAAAGTTGCCATCATCATGTTAATATAGAAAGATTAGATATAAATGTGTTCTATGATAAATGTAAGCAGGATCAAAAATAGGATTTTTCACTCTTCCAATCAGCAATGGTTACCTTATTTCCCAAATATTAATTTCTTTTGTTCTATCAAGGCCACTATGCACGATGATAATAAAGCACATAACCACTAGAGTGTTGCATTGAATTAAGATACCATTAAACACATCTCTATCTCCTCTTTCTATAGTATAATCGCATTAAAAAGATAATAGCATAGATGCAAATCACAACATTGGTATCCTCAAAAACATGTCGTTAGTGTCTTAATGCAAAAGAGGACATTTGTGAAATAATGAGTAGCTTTTCAAACATAACATACGAAATCTTGAACACAACTTGGTTATAAAAATTACTTCGTGCTTTTGCACATACACTACTTTGTGTGCACAAATTTGGGCCAAATATAGCATAGCATACAAAGCCTTGTAGATAATGAAAGCCACAAAGGGAAGGTTGCAAAGATAAATATGCAACACCTTCTCTGCAATATGATTCAAAGCATATACAGTTTCACGAATGTAGATATGATCATCATATAGAGCTTTGTGAGGCAAACAACTTTAGAAATTTACCTCATGCAACCAAAATACGAGTATATTTGGTGTCAATATTCCTAGCCTTGGTTGGACTTATTAAGTAACAAATAATTTGAGTAAAATACATGTTAATGGCATTAAAATAGCAACATTAAGTAAACATGCTTCCGAATTAAGTTGTATCCATTTCAATATGTCGATAAAATGAAAGAATGTCAGACCAAGGACCTCCATATGAATGTATTTAACAAAATCACAAACCTCATATGTGAATGGGCCTTCTACTGTGTCCAAGTCATGAGTTCCAATGGCAACAAGAGTTCTTCGTCTACAAAATTGAATAAATGAGAACAAGATGATAGATGACTAATATAAAGAGGACAAGAATGTAAAGTAATGCTACACATATAGGGTAAAACAAAATTTAAAGCCAATGCTACCAATTGGAAAGCCTCTAGTCTTGTTGCAGGTTGTCATACTTATACAAAGATGCTCATATACAACTTTCTTCATATGAAAGATGGCATGTGGAAAATGAAAGGAAGGGAAACAAGAAAACAAAAAAAAGTTAGAAAATGTATGGCATCATGAAATGGATTGGATTGGTATTAGTTTGGATACGGAAAAATCGATCTTCTTCAACTTTCGACTAGGGCAGCAGCTCCCTCTTGCACAACTCCCCCATACTGCAATTGGTGCATTGATCTTTGCAACGTTAATGCTTTTTGCTGGTTGGTTTCATAAGTCGTCCGCCTATTTTTCTGATCTCCTTTCCTTCTATTAATCAGTGGGAATATGCAATAGTTGCAGAAGGGTACTAGAATCAATGACATGTTGAATAAAAATGTGACAGGGCAATTGCATCAATTTTTGATAACCAGTCATCACCTATAAAGAAAACTAAGGTTCAAACTTCAAATACAAAGCCTTCGGACATTGGTCTACAAGCCAACAACAGGGCCCTTTTTCTTTCCCCCTCCCTTCTCGCTTTCCCATAGTCTATGGCCTTTTCTTCTTCTCTCTCAATTGCGGTTCATCATCGATTTTTACATCCTCCTTCAAAAGTCCCTTTGTCGGCTATAGGTCAAGCTCTCTCTTTTAAGGCATCACTAGCCTTCATGACCAGTGGTTGTCCTAATCTTTCTATGGTATCTCTCATCTCTTCATCTGCATTTACATCCTCCTTCAAAACTCTCTTGTCAGCTATAGGTCAAGATATCTCTTTACAGCATCACTAGCTTTCATGACCGGTGGTTGTCCTAATCTTTTTGTGGTGTCCCCTCATCTCTTCATCTGCATTTACCTACCACTGAAAAAGATGTTCATCGTCACTGTTTCACAGGTCTTGACTCCTCCATCAACAATTCCAGTTCTCCCTTTCCGCCTTTCCATGAGCCGTTCACATATTTGATGATTCACCTACTATTTTCAAAGTTTTCTTGACCACCCAACTCTCTATAGCCTTGTCCACTCATGAGTAATTGGTGGCCTTGAAAACTATCATGGACATGGTGTTTGTGTTTATCAACTACTTCCGTTATGGATGTACCTAAGGCATCAACCGTCCACGGTAACTCAAATCTCCCCTATAATCTCCAAAAGTAACTAGATAATAGAATATAACCATCAATTCGCGGAAAGATAAAAGGTAATGTTTATTCAAACATCTACATGTCAGTATCTTGATCTTTTGAGGTGTCTGCCCTATTACTTGTGGTTGCGGCATGTTGATAGAGATGAAAATGTTGTGGGGTCTACTCAAGCAGTTTTACCCTTTCTTGCTGCCCATTGGAAGTCATGGCATCGAAAGCAAATTAGGTCATCAAAACTGATTACTGTAATCAAGCTTGCAGATGTTCGTTGTGTTTAGTTGGATCTAACGCAAGCTAGGCTCAAGGGGTGTACATGTTCAGTTCAATTTCTTGTTGGGTTGTCTTGTCTCTGTAGTAAGGTTCTCCATTGCTTTGTTACGATAGCTTTTTGGTTCTCACCCAGCGCTTTTCCAATAAGGTTCTCAAGTTGGTATTCTTCGGTGGCAAGTTGGTTTTTAAGGGGTGTAATTTTAGAACCAAGCAAAATATCTTGTGGGTTCAAGTCCAAGCCAATCTTAGTGTTTCATGTGTAATGCTCAATTTCATTAGAATTTCAATGTTTATTTGTTTTGGGCAGAAATCTCGATAAGTTTACATACTATCAAGTTGAGTAGCTTTCTATCCAACCGTAACAAGACATCTTGCCTCACTCAAGTGTAGGTCCAATTTGGATCTCAATCTATATAATTTCTTCTTTGCCCAAAAAAAAATTGAATACTAGCAATCTCATTCAATAAAAACCTAGCTAGTAGAAAGCAAGCAATAAGAAAATCAGTAACTAATTATTTAATTTTATATGTAAATTTTTTGTTGATTTTTCCATTACAACATAACTAAATTTGAGGGCACAAAAGAAAGAGCCAGTTGTGTGTTGACAGAAATGATAAACATTAAGGTGGATAAAGGTAAGAATGCTTGATTGAAGTGAACTTCAACTGCTTTATTGGACGATGGAATCTCGGTGGTTCAATGTCTTATAAGAGATGAATAGCACATACAGGATTAAGGACTGTCACTGTAAGTAAGGTCTCTCTCAATTACAGCCTCCAAGGCCAAAAGGATCGTACTTGATAAACCAACATAGGCAGCTATTTTTTTACTCAAATATAATACTTATGTTGATATGCTTACATTCATACATGAGAGTAAGGTGGCGTTTGTTTTTAAGAGGTACCGAAGTCTGAAGTCTTATTTTACTTCTGATTGATAAGAGGTGGTGTTAAGTCTTAAATCTGAATTACTAAGACTGTTTGTTTTTATAAACTAATAAATGTCTGAATTTGTTTAAATTGTCTATTTTACCCATTAGAAAATTATAGTGTTGAATTTGTAAATAAAATTATACAATTTCACATATTTATTCATCATAAATTTATATCTAAATTATATAATTAACATTTTATTTAAACGAAAATATGTCATTAACGATATTTAATACATTTAAATCCTATTAAAATACATCAATCGAGAGAGGTGATGATCAATTTGGTAAGGACCGACCGAGAGAAATGATCGATTAAGGTTTACCGATTGAGAAACACAATTTATGAGAGTTTGGAGAACAATATGAGGCAAATAAGATGTTGGTTTACCTCTTACCAAATAAGATAACAATAAGACATAAGTGCCCCTGGAAAATTGAAAAACCAAAAAGTCTAAATGGCCCTACCTCTTAACTAATCAAACATAAAAGGCTAAGTAGTGCATGCATTAGTATACCAATTATCATCCGTTTTTGAAGGCTCGGACTCATCCAAGAAACTTAAAACGCACACTAATTAGCATTGGAATTAGTGTCTACCAACAAATTAGAAAGTGGACACTAACAGGTAAGTTACAATTGATACGATGCTACTACAAATAAAAGGTATATTAAAAAGAGTTTAAACATAATTAGCAAATAGGATTCATACTTGATAGTTGATACAGTGTATCATGTATTCATGCTACTTAATTTGCGGTCAATGATGCATGAAGAACAATCAACATTTAGAGCCAGCAAAATTATTTTTGAAGGTACCAACACAGCAAAAGTATGTGTGTGTATTTAAAGGCACACTACAACAAAAGTAAGATTCGTATCCACATATTACCTGCATATATTCTGATGAAGCTTATCTTGGAGATCGATAAAGCTGTTATATCTAGCCTCATTGAAAGTTATGCCTCTCAAAACAGCACAAACAACATACGGACGTATGACAGATGTCTGGAAAAAAGAAGATCATCTATATACATGAAAATAAAGAGCTCTTGTGCTTTAAATATACATAGCACACCAGAAACGGTTTAGGGTCTAGGGGATAAATACCTCAGGTTTTACATGCATTTTAAGCATTAATTCCTTACTAATATCAGCAAGTGTGTATTTAGGTACTGAATCAACCCCACAGAAAATGCGCAGGGACTGAACAAGTCCCTCCAGACAAAGCAAATCATATCTGCATAATAAATGAGCATTTTATATATAACTGACTGAGATCCTTCGACCTCTGAGTAAAAAAGGTAATAAGATCCATGTCAAACATTACTACCAAACGACCATACTTCACACTCCCTCCCATATGTAAGAGCTACACTTTAGTTTTTTTGTTTGAACATTTGTTAACTTCTCAAATGTAAAATGGTTATAGAATTTAGAAATTTAACTATACTGTTTTTTATTTTGTAGCACGTCTTTAAATTTTATTCCTGCTGTTAAATACTTAAATTTTTATGTTAACCATATAAAATTCATATTAATTTTCACTTTCAAATTTAGCTCATTTGACATCAAAAACCAAAGTGAATCTTTATTTCTTTTCTCAACTTGGCTGTAAGGGAGTACTCTTAAATTCAATAGATCAGACAAATTGACATCAGAGGGTGCTATCTCACAGCCTTATTGATCTGTTTGGCAAACCACACACCAAGCCAAAGCTGGCCTATAGTCATCAAAGCTTATCCATTGCTATTGTTGATTTGTCCGACACATCACACACTAAGCCAAAACGTTCAAGAATGAACAACACGAGTGACAGCTAACATTACCGATTGGCAGGGATATCAATTTTGTAGATTACTTCTTCATCGCCACCAATTTCTTCCTCTTCTTTTAGGTGTTTCTCCTTTCTTATAATTGCTTTCTCTGTCGTCTGGCATATCATATGCATAAAACTAGATAAATCATGCACATTTTACATACATACAGATGGGTTAAGACAAGCAAACATTTACCACATCATCGAGCTCGATTCCAAATTCAAAGCATAATTCTTCGAACTCATCTTGTGCTGACATAAAGAAAATGAGAGAAAATAAAATTAAAGGGGAACTGTTAAAAAATTAAGAGAATAGAATAAAATTCAGATTCAAACTCACTGTAAGTGCGTCCTAGGGCTTCGAAAAGAAGGTCCCTTCCAACGCTAATTGTAGGCATAATGGATCGAAATGGCGGATTTTCCCTTGCAAATTGAACTTGAAATTATAAGATAATGTTCAGAAGAAGTTCAATTTGGAAGGGAGTAGAAATGGAGGCGTCCGATAGAAGGGTTTTGGGAGATTGGTTACGCTTAGGGTTTACCACCGGTAAGATCAGCAGACTAACACCGAACAGTTGAAAACGAACCAACAAAGATTTAACGAGACTCCTTCTAACTTATTACATTATTTCGATGTAGTATCGACACTTTTAAGAAAAAATATTATTAACTTATATCCATTTTGTTAAGTGAACCGACTAATCCTAAGATGACCACCTGTTTTACAGGTAGCTTGGAGTTAACAGTAAGAAAATTTTAATGTTTGAATGAAAGAAAATACGTATCAACTTACTGTGTTTTGATATCATCATAAGCTAATCCACTGTTTCAGATTTGGTGCAACATGAAACAAAATAAAAATTCATTGTTTAATATTTAGACGATATGGAAGTCTCGGGTGGGGTATGCTTGCGTACCAAAATGCTATCTAAGGAATAATCAATAATATTGCCACTTTTAGCTAATAATTAGTCGTCTCATAATAAATAGATATACAGGATTTTTGTATATGAACAGTAGTCATTCACAAAGTAGGTAAGCACGTTTGGAGATAATAGAATGACTTCGTACGAGTGTTTTACTTTAGAGGTATGGGTTTGTCCTTTATGCAAGGGAATAAGACAAAAACTAATCTTGATTAACAAAATTCATTTGATTGTTGATACTGGAACAACTCTAAAGTTTCTTCGGTGTTTGCTGAATCTTGAGTAGACTTTACACATGTTTGTAGACAAGTTTGTTTTCACTGGAACCGTTTCAAATCACGAACTGTTTGTCTCTATCTCCAACTTTATCTTCGACATCACTAAAGATTCTTGTGGTGTGAGTTTTGTCTTCTTGAATAAAAATATTTGTTCCTCGATATTTACAATACATGTTCAACGATCATTGAATAGACTTAGAGATGATCGTTGAAACTGAATAATCAGAACCAAGTACTTTTTGATAGGTAAAAAGGATCATGATCAAATTACTGAGAGAGTGCGGATCAACAGTTTTCTTCCCTATTTCCTTTCTTAGTTGTTTCTCTTCGCCATGTGTGATTTGGGCAACCTTGGAGCCGGTTTTTATGAGCCTTTTGAAGGAAATGAAAGGAAAGGCTTGGAGATTGAAGAATCATATTTGTTGATCTAAAGATTTGGAAGAGGTAAGCATTTTTAGCATTTTGTGATCTAAGTTTGGGGTTTTTGGTGGAATTGAAATATCGAGATAATGTCTGGTATCTTTTGACTTGGTTTATGGCTTTGAGAAGATTTCTTGGGGATGTTTGCTTGTCGATCTCAACTGTTCATCATTTTGGAAGCTATAGATGGGTTTGGAAACTAGGTTTAACTTAACCTAGTAAGGTGAGTTCAAGTTGATTTGTGAAAACTATGTACACGCCAAAATGTCTAAGTATTATCATGTTATGGTAGCTATTTATCAAATGTGTAGGTTATTTGATGAGTTTTGCATATTTTGGTATATTTGGTTTTATAAATCATATAAAGTCCTTATATTTTGGTTTTTGGACATTTGAGTAAATAAATCATAAAGGTGAGCTCTTTTGATGATTTATTTTATAAATGGAGAGTATTTGGTGAAAAGTGCAGATTTAAAGTATTTGGTTTGGAAAATACATTATAATATTCGTGTTTCGTTAACTCGTACAAACTGGATTAAGTAAATTTTTGGTAGAATTATGCATAACATATTTGTACCCTATGTTATACCAACTTGTACTTCAGACGAGTTTTGCGTCAAAAATGAGTTTATATCTAATTTGACGTAAAAGTTGAAAATATAGACTTGAAGGGTAAAAACCGCTAAATGGTTAAACTTTATATATATATATGTGCGTAGGCGGTTATGAACCGCCAATTTATATACGTCTCATTTTCTCGTTATTTCTCCTTTTAAATCTCTCGATTTCTCTCTAAATTTCACGTCAAGTTATTAAGGGGATTGAAGTAACAAATATATATTCGGAATCCACTCTACGAACCCTTCTTAAAGGTATAAGTTTCATTCAGTTTTCATTATGGTGTTTATTTTAGGGTTATTTAGACTGGTTTATAAACTGTGTTTATGTCTAAGTTTACGGATTGATGTTGTCAAAATCATGATATATTTGATGTTTAGAATGCTAGAACTGGTTATATTGATGTAGAAATAAAAAGGGTATATTGTAGTTTCAATGTGATTAGATTGTGGGTAAATGTTTAACCGTACACCAATTGTTCGGTTAAATGTCGAAAGGAGTAAAAATGCATGATTAAGCTTAGGTTAATGACCATTGGA